AATAATTTGTTTAAGATACGCTAAGAGCACTTTTTATTGTTTCTGCGCATGGTCTGTGTTTTTCCGCTATTGCCAACAATGTTTCAATACAGATAAAATAGAAAACGACTAAAAAAAGACACCTTTGCCTTAAATGTGCAATTTTGAATTCAGCACTTTGAACTTCCGTGCAACATAACATCTTTCAACACTCACCTTCTTCGGAAGTTATGAACGAAGTAACAGTCTCTTCGCCAAAACCAAGGTAATTTCCAGCAGCTACAGATATTCCATAAGTAGTATACGGAATGAGATTATTAATTTCGTATTCATTCATTTTCCCTGTGGTAATGTTCAGGATTAGAGCGCTTTCTTCCTTCAGTTTAATCCAAAAGCGTGAAAGACGATATCCTCCAAGATTCTTCGGATCTAGCCAGGATATTGCAACTTTTCTAGACGTGATGCTAGTGATGGTGAGATTTGTAGGTTTGTCTGGTACAAAAGCTATGGGAAAAAGTACAAAATATAATTTTTCGATGTGAAAAAAATAATTGTGAAAGGGCAGATACTACTTTACAAGAAATCAGCTATAGTTTTTCGTAAAGCATTCATTATTTTGCGATGTGTCATTATTTTGCGATGTGTCAAAATTGAATTATCGACCAGTTTCACTATTGATATCATTATCAAAAATTATGGAAAAAATAGTTTTTACTAGGCTCTATAATTTTCTACTAGAAATTCAGTTTTTGAACCGTTTTCAAAGCGGGTTTCGCCCTGGTGATTCAACAGTAAATCAACTTATTTTAATTGTTCATAAAATATATGAAGCATTAGAATCAGGTAAAGAAGTTCGTATGGTCTTTTTGGATATCAGTAAAGCCTTCGACAAGGTTTGGCATAGAGGACTTATTTATAAGCTTGAGCTACTTGGTGTAGAAGACCCCCTTTTAAAATGGATTAAAAGTTATTTGTTAGGAAAGAAAACAAAGGGTTATAATTGATGGCCCGTCATCTGATTGGAATGAAATCGAGGCTGGTGTTCCACAACGTTCTGTATTAGGTCCATTACTTTTTTTAATATATATAAATGATATTACTCAGGATCTTCAATGTGACTCTTTTATTTATGCTGAGGATACCTCTCTTCTAGAAGTAGTTGAAGATATAGATATTTCTACGGAAAGACTTAACAATGATTTGCAATGCATTCATGAATGGACACGTGACTGGCATGTCATTATAAATCCAGGTAAAACCAAATCTGTCACATTTTCAGCTAAAATGTTTAAACCAGCACATCCAACGTTATACTTTGCAAACGAGCCGATTGAAATTGTTAGTAATCATAAGCATTTAGGGCTTGCCCTATCTTCAAATCTTTCTTGGAAAGCACATATACTCAATATTTACGAGAAAGCTTCAAAAAAACTTAATCTTTTAAAAAGTTTTAAGTTTAAGTTAGATAGAAAAACTTTATCAAAATTGTACAAGTCTCTTATTAGACCAGTGATGGAATATGCTGATTTTCTTTGGGATGGTTGCTCTGAAAATGAAAGCGATCTCATTGAGCACGTTCAATATCAAGCTGCAACAGTGGCCATAGGTGCTATGAAGGGTACTAGTAGAGGACGGTTACTGGAGGTATTAGCTTGGGAAGATATGAAAACAAGGCGATCCATTCATAAACTTATTTTATATTTTAAAATTGTAAATAAGTTAACACCAAATTATTTGTCGGATTTACTGCCTCAAACAGTACAGCAAAGGTCGGGTCTATCCTTAAGAAATGCTTCTGACTTTTCTCCTTTTGGTGTGAGAACTGAAAGATTTAAAAATCGTTTTTTCCTTCAACTACTATATTATGGAATAGCATTGATATTATTGATCGAAATTCAAAGTCGATTGGTTTTTTAAAGATCTCATTAACTTCGTTTTTTGACATTCAAACTTATACTGGCTACTATGATTTTTCTATTGATAGGTATTCTTCTATCTTACACACTCCTTTGCGCCTTAATTTTAATGCTTTAAATTATTATTTGTTTAAAATTAATTGTAGATTATCTCCAGCATGTTCATGTGGAGATTCTTGTGAATCAGTCATTCATTATTTGTTATATTGTCCTCGTTATGCTGCTCTTAGATTATCCTTACTCTCGGTAGCTGCTCAAATTTATGGTGAAAGCTGGTATCTCTTGTCGGATTCTCAAAAGTCTAAAATATTTTTGTCTGGTTCAACTGATTTGAGTATAGAAAGTAATAGATGTATATTTATGCATCTTCAAAAATATATTAAGCAAACTAATCGTTTTTCTAAGAATTAATTTACTACTTTGAACCTTCAATTGAACCAGCTTTTATCACTTTTGTTGTTTTTTTCCCTCTTTCTTTGTACTGTTCATCTTCTCCTGTTGTGTATATTATTTAATTATTTGTTAAATGTAGTGTGACCCCTCGATGAGCGTCCACGCTCTTGGGTAAACATTAAAGTTATTAAATATGTTTATATGTATAAAAAAACATTATTCTTTTCTCTACAGTAAGTCAGACATTGTAGAAATGTACAGACGACTTTCCAAGGATTGATAGGTATGAAACAAAGCCACTGAAAGGCATAAAGATGGCAGAGGATCAAATAAATCAAATAGTAAGTATGAAATTCGAAACAGAATTTTCTTCAGAACCACAAACATAATCTCGAGATAAACATATCGAACGTACGTCCATTCGTTAAAAATTCTTTGCTTTTACTCTATGGTCCATGACCAACTCTAGTGCTTCCAAGAACACGAACGTAATATGTTGTTGATGCATTTAAATTTACGACGATCCATATTAATATTCTTCCATACGTACAGTGCGTTAAACAAAATCAAATACTAAGTATGAAATTCGGAACAGAAGTATTCTTAGAGCCACAAACAGTACAAACAAAATATATGTCGATATATCCATGTTGTACTTACTTCCATTCGTAAAAAATCCTTTACTTTCACTGTAGTTTCCATGACCAACTTTAGTACTTGCAAGAACACGAACATAATATTTTGTTGATGAATTCAAATTCCCAACCAGCCACTCTCTTCCACGTGTAATAAATGTCTGAAAACAAAGCCCGTTTTCTGAGTGTGAAACACACGCTGTGTAACTGACAATGACGCCATTTTGTTTCGCTTTCTCAGGAGGATCCCAAATAACAGACAATAATGACGCACTTCTTGATGTGGTTTTGATGTGTGATGGAGGACCGCTCGGAGCTTAAGAGTACATAAAACAGAGGTTTTTATTTAAATTCAGTGTAACTTAATTAAGTAGAGGCATGTTGTGATTTTTTGTATATTCGCTCTGTGGATGAAGACGTTAGGAATGGGGAATCGAAACGACTGGTTTTGACTGTCAATTTGTTCAAGGATTAAAGTTCTTTACTTAAACCAAAACAACAAGGAAAGGCGCAGTAAAAATGTATTTTATTAGAGATATAATAACTAGAATAATTTGTTTAAGATACGCTAAGAGCACTTTTTATTGTTTCTGCGCATGGTCTGTGTTTTTCCGCTATTGCCAACAATGTTTCAATACAGATAAAATAGAAAACGACTAAAAAAAGACACCTTTGCCTTAAATGTGCAATTTTGAATTCAGCACTTTGAACTTCCGTGCAACATAACATCTTTCAACACTCACCTTCTTCGGAAGTTATGAACGAAGTAACAGTCTCTTCGCCAAAACCAAGGTAATTTCCAGCAGCTACAGATATTCCATAAGTAGTATACGGAATGAGATTATTAATTTCGTATTCATTCATTTTCCCTGTGGTAATGTTCAGGATTAGAGCGCTTTCTTCCTTCAGTGTAATCCAAAAGCGTGAAAGACGATATCCTCCAAGATTCTTCGGATCTAGCCAGGATATTGCAACTTTTCTAGACGTGATGCTAGTGACGGTGAGATTTGTAGGTTTGTCTGGTACAAAAGCTATGGGAAAAAGTACAAAATATAATTTTGCGATGTGAAACAAATAATTGAGAAAGGGCAGATACTAATTTACTAGAAATCAGCTATAGTTCTCGTAAAGCATTCATTATTCTTTTCTCTGTATACAGTAAGTCAGACATTGTAAGAATGTACAGACGTTTCTCCGAGGATTGATAGGTATGAAACAAAGCCACTGAAAGGCATAAAGATGGCAGAGGATCAAATAAATCAAATAGTAAGTATGAAATTCGAAACAGAATTTTCTTCAGAACCACAAACATAATCTCGAGATAAACATATCGAACGTACGTCCATTCGTTAAAAATTCTTTGCTTTTACTCTATGGTCCATGACCAACTCTAGTGCTTCCAAGAACACGAACGTAATATGTTGTTGATGCATTTAAATTTACGACGATCCATATTAATATTCTTCCACTGATAACAATGTTTGAAAGCAAGGACCATTTGTGAATGTGAAACACACACTGTATAACTGATAATGTTACCATTGTGTTTATTTTTCTGTGGATGGTCCCACATGAATGACAATGATGATGTACTGCTTGATGTGGTTTTGATGGCCGCCGGACCACTCGAAGCTAAAGTGCACTCCAAATTTCGCAGTGTACAGTGAACAACTAAAACGTGTAAAGTTACACCAAGTTGGTGAAAATTTTAAAATTTACGCTTGGGAAGTGTAAACTAACAATACTCGAGGGCATCTTTACACCAAGCTTAGGTTACGCCAACACCGTCTTAGTGTAAACTTAAACATCTTGTTATTTAACACTTGGAAGATGCAAATGAACACAACAGAAAATTAAACTAACACCTAGCAAGTGTAAATTTACACCGGCCGTTACTGTGTTTGGCCAGCAGTTTCGATGTGTACACAAAGATTGGGAAAAAGGCCAATGACTTCCTGCAGTATAGCTTGTGCAATTTTAACACAATAAGATGTTGCAACAGAACAACAACGTCGAACATGTTATGTCGTTTAAAAGGTCAGGTAAAAAATGACAACCTAACACTTGCATGAACTAATCGGAATAAGGATGTGTGTCATGTAGGCTAGGTTGATTTTCTTATAGGAGATTGTCGTCGTGACCCATTGCTATAAGAGGGTGGAGCGCGATTTGGGTATGATACCAGGAATTAACATAAATTGGGCTATAAAGAACCATTGAGAGCACACTTTGTGCAAAGCAGGAGGCACAGAAGGAAATGCCCGAAGCTGGTGGATGTCTGGGGTTTCAAAATATGATTCTAATTGAGTTACCGAACAATTAAATTAGTAACTGGGAAAAACAGTGCATAGTAGTGGCACATATTTGTAATCGCGTCCAGTGAGTCTGCGCGTTAACACAAAACAATGTGTTAAGAAGAAAACGAGTTACACACAATATGCGTAGATCATTAAAATTTATCAGAACTCAGATGTTTGTGTTAATATTACACTTTTAATCAGTCAATAATATATTATCATATTTAGCTGGTTTCAATCAATCAAAGTGGTGCACGTTTCTACCTAACTTTTCTTCAGTGTGAATTATAGTAACACAGGGACTAGTTTCGGATATGTATCCAGATTTAAGCGACGTCTCTTAGAAGATCTCGTCCATGAAATAGTTGTTCCGAGATTAGCGATGACATGACATTCTATTATCACATGTTATGACATGCGATATGTTAAACCATAAAATTTTTATATTATGGTAACTGGCATATAATTTTTTAAAGAATCTAAAGTCGAGAGTCAACAAAACACGAGAACACGTGGATTTCTTTTGCTCCGTCTATTTTATCATAGAACAGTTTAAAAAGTCAAAATTATGGAACAGAACGTCAGTTCTGTTAGTTTCCTGCCTGGAGTACAATTTAGTAACAAAGGCCAGCTAATCTGGGTAAAATCTTTTCAAGATTTGCGGATGTTTGGGGCTGTCCCGGAGGAGGTGCTAAACAGTTTAAGTCTGATGATATTGATTTTCGATGGTATCCTGACAGACAAACAATCACTATAAATGACAAACTAAAGAATGAGATCGAAGAGAGATTGAATTTTATGGTTCTAGTATCGGCGAGGCTCGGAATGAAATGGAAGCTTCGAGGCAAGACGGCCATGTTAGCGAAGGTCATGTTGTCCCGACACAACTGAATATTGATGACTGAAGAGACGTAACAACTAACAACAACTTAAAACACCATCAAGGGACCTAGTCCTTTTACATTTAACGCACACAGATTTCCAAGTTCGCGGATCGTCATAGTTATAAATATTAGATAGCGCGTATTTGTAGTACGTCTTTAGTCCAGATTTGAAAGCTTGCAGGCCAATATCTCTATTACGGAGGTCACTATTTAAAACGTTTAATGATGCCTTCAACTACCTAGAGCAAAAAATTAAGGAATCAAATTCCTAAGTCCTTAAGAAACTTAATGACCTGGAACAAAAGGTGTCTGGAATAAAAGACAACAAGCAACACCTTTTAGTGAGCGAATTAAAACGTGAAAATCAGGATTTGAAGAAAGAAAACCAAACTCTTTGGGAAAAGGTAACTAATCTTACCCTTATAGCCCTTATAGTGTCGCATATGAATACAAAATCTAAAGAAATGGAAAACGAACGGCTCAGTCTTATTACAACGATAAGGCTTATGCAAATTGTTCCGCCCCCTGACAAAAAATCACCATGCACTGAATCGGATAATAACAATACAGATGCATGCGCTGAAACGGAGAATAACGATACAGATGCATGCACTGAATCGGATAATAACAATACAGATGCATGCACTGAATCGGATAATAACAATACAGAAGAATATATTCAGTCCTTGATAAAAGAAAAGGCTGTAGAAATAAATAATAATCAAGAATCTGCCGCGGCTTTAAGGGAGTGGACTGATAACCCGACCGACAACACCATAAAAGCTACCTATGCAGAAGTTGTGAAATCACAGGTGGACTGAAGAAATTTGTCTAAAACACCTAACACACCTGCAAAGGAGGATAACGATCTAAAATCTAATGGCGAATTAAATTCCGATTCTCTCGACGGCTTCATTGGAGTCGAACGTAAAAGGAAGAAATATAAAAGTTTTTTCCTATCCGGTATTGCTGAGGGGGTAAAAGAGAGTTATATACACTCGTACCTTGCTAAAAGAAACATTATCTCTACAAATGTATCGATCTTTCGAAGTAAACGTACAGGAACAATGTCAGCAAAAATCCATATTCCTTCAGCCCTTAGTTCAGCCGTGTTGGAAAAACATTTTTGGCCTAAGCTCGTATACTGCAAACCGTGGCAACAAAAAAGAAAATAAGAACAATCTGCACTGCAGAAAAACAGCAAGACCCTAATGGGAAAGCACTCCACTTTAGTATAATGGCGCATAATATTCCAACAAGAATCTCGTCGAGGACGGGGAGGCAAAGAATGCGTAGGGAGACTAGAGGAGTCAATTATAGTAACTTAACTCGTATTCGATGTAAAAGTAATCCCCGAGCCGACGGCGCGAAGCGCCGTGCGAGGGTACTAATTTCCTCCGGCTATTTACACCCGGGGAAACGAAAATATTAGCCAAGTCTAAAGTTCATCAATGAGCGCGGCGGTGGGTTACCGTGAGTGGTTCGGCGGGTGGTCATCCTCACTGATCTCAAAAATATGGCGGACTGTCATGAATAGCGGACACTGATTGGTCCAATTTAAAGTTTGCATTATAACGACTGCACGACGACAGCGAAATAGCAAACATTTCTTGATTTGATGATTGATAAATTTCTAAGAAAGAAAGGGCGAAAGAATCGGCTATAAAGAACACTTTAAAACGTTTTGCGAAGCGTTTGTGGTTGAATTTTACCTTAAATTGAAGCTTATATTACGTATAATATCATACCTAACATATATATGTTGGGAAATTGACAATTTTGTAATTAAAAGTGATATTTTTAGCCGATTTTTCATTTGTAAGAATATTCTTAAAAAATTATCGTGTTACCATGACAACAACTTTAGATACTTCATGTTCGGAAAATACAATGGTTTTGTCAGCAAGGCGAGGGTTTCTCCATGCATGTATTTTCTAGTTATAATAACAATACCAATTCTAAGGTTGACCTACCGTCAGATCTTTGGTTACTAAAATAGAAGATTTGGAGATTGTTGTAAATCAGAATAACGCGGACATTGTATGTATAATGGAAACTTGGCTAACTGAATCTATTCCAAATTCAGGGTTGAAATAAAAAACTACTCGTTGGTAAGGATGGATCGGAAGTCAGATAAACGGGGCGGTGGTGTTTGCGCGTATATTAAATCGAACATTCGTTTTACAGTTCTACAGGAATTGCATAATCCTTCATTCGAAGCGACATGGTTATATCTTCATCCACACAGATTACGTATACCCCGAAGCTTTTCTTGTATTATATAATTGGGGTAATATAGC